TGCAGTTATTCTCTTTTTACATTCCTTGGTCTTGTAGATTCTATCCACAGTTATAGCTCCATTCTTCTGAATAGCTATCCCTGTGTCTGCACTGTTTATTCTGTTCAGTAATTCCTGTAATGTCATGTCATTTTCTTCAGGGTTAATATTTTCTAGCAGTTTTAGAGACACTTCCATATGCTTGGCTCGTGCAATTGCTTCATCTCTCTCCTCATTGGCTAACTGCAGTCGAGACATAATAGCTTCATCACGTTCCCTCTGCGAAATACACCTCTTCAACCAGAGCTGCTGTTTTTTCAGCAATTTGAGCTTCTGTTGCTTTTTCTTGGAGTTCCAGTTTAAGCTTTAGTTTTCTCTGTTCTTTATCTTCTTTAGTCAGTTTTTCTTGAAGCTTTTTTTTTTTTTGCGGTATGTGGGCCTCTCACTGTTGTGGTCTCTCCCGTTGCGGAGCACAGGCTCTGGACGCGCAGGCTCAGCGGCCATGGCTCACAGGCCTAGCCACTCTGCGGCATGTGGGATCTTCCCAGACCGGGGCACGAACCTGTGTCCCCTGCATTGGCAGGTGGACTCTCAACCACTGCGCCACCAGGGAAGCCCTTCTTGAAGCTTTTTATTGCTTGCTTTGAGAATGTCCAATTCTTTTAGAAGCAACGCTATCGTCTCCTAAGTCTGAAGTAACTTGACAAGGAATCATACATTTGTAATGCAAATCATTATTTCTATGTTCCATAATGTTGGATTTTTCTCTGGTACAGTGAGCTTTCTCATCACCTAGATGAGGACTGATGACTTGAAAATTCCTTGATCTCTGCTCTGGCAGTTCTATGCCCTCATATGTAGCTTCATTAACTAATTCATTGGATTTCTGTTGCATGCTTCCCTTAGAATTCACAGGCAGTTGCTCATCTGGCTGTGTACTTTTATTTCTCCCAGTGGTCTCTTGTTCAAGATAACTATGGGTTATGTCTGGACTAATGCAGCACTGTCCTGGTGTTAAAATATACTGGTTGGTTATAAAATACAGGCAATGAAGGTTTCTTTCATAGCTGGTTGGAAGAGCAATAACCACCACCACTTATCTAGGCCCTTTTGACCAGTCGTCCATTTGTACGTCTTGTTTGCTCTGGCAAGGTCTCTGGATTTTGCGCCAAGATTTGAAGCTTTGTACGGCATGGCTCAGCGTGCCTAAAGAAGCACAGCATTCTTTGCCGAAACTTACAAGTGTGAGACCTGAGATGCGCCCCGCACCGCCCCAGGAGCCGACTCTGCGCTCTTGCCCAGAGCTTCTCAGGCCCGACGCGCAGGAACCACGTCCACCAACCGATGCTTACTCGGAGCCTCCCTGCCCGCCTGGGGCTCCTCTGTGCAGGGAGGTGCGCAGGGAGATGTAAGCATCTATTTTTCTAAAGTATGTGCTATTAGAAATTAAAACAAAAATACTCTGGTGACAGTGAACAAATTTAATGCACAGGCAGGAATGGTGGAAATAGATCAGTTAGGAGATAGATTAACCAATGTACTCTTCGGGAGAAATCTGAGCTAGGATAACAATTTGAGAGAGCTACCAGCATATAAACGGTAACTGAAATTGGGGGAGGAGAATGGATGAGATCATTCATGGAAAATGGGGTCCAAGATGGGACCTTGGAGAAGCCTAATATAAAGATGTGGGCAGAGGAAGAGGATGCTGCAAAATAGGCTGAGAAGTAGTCAGAGATTTACAGAGAAGTAGTCGTCACAAGAGCTGAGGGCAGTTTCAAGGTGGAAGGATTGCTCGGTGGATGATGCATTTATAAAACATACATAAATGAATATTTATAAAGTGGGTCATTTTATATTCAGTAGGTCTTGTTAAAATTAACCTATACATTTATCCTAAGGAAATAACCACATAGTCCATTTTGGGAGACAAGGAGTTTGGACTTATTTGGGGAGCAATGAACTAAAGGTTGTTGGCAGTGATAAAAATGAATGACAACCCGGGTTTCCCTGGAGGCTCAGTTGTTAAGAATCCGCCTGCCAATGCAGGGGGTACGGGTTCGAGCCCTGGTCCGGGAAGATCCCACGTACCGCGGAGCAACTAAGCTTGTGTGCCACAACTACTGAGCCTACGCTCTAGAACCCACGAGCCACAACTACTCAGCCCGCGAGCCTAGAGCCCGTTCTCCACAACAAGAGAAGCCACCGCAATGAGAAGCCCGTGCACCACAACGAAGAGTAGCCTCCACTCACCGCAGCTAGAGAAAGTCCGCGCAGAGCAACGAAGACCTAATGCAGCCAAAAATAAATAAATAAAATAAATTTAAAAAAAAATGAATGACAACCCTTAACAGTTTTGGTGAAACTGAATTCCGAAATCTAAGAAGTTCCACATTTCTGTGAAATCTTTCCAGACAGATTTTAAAAATTCAACCTATTTGTATTTGTTTTTGTAAGCATCTACTGTGTGCTTACCACTACACCCTCACAGGCAAGATACAATAGTACGTACGTGTGACATGATCTCTATCCTTTCCATTTACCATAGTCACCATACTCACCAATCCTCACTCAGTCTGGTTGTTTGATCATAGAATTCACTGATGAGTTATGACACAGATGCCCTCTCTATGCCTCAGTTTCCTTCTCTTTAAAGCCACGGTTTGATGAGGTCAATGGTTTGCATCAGAATCACCAGGAGTGCTTGCTGAACACAGATTGCTGGTTCCACTCCTAGTTTGATTCAGTAGGGAGTGGAGAACTTGCATTTCTGGAGAGGTAGGTTGCTGTTCCAGGAACCATACTCTGAGAACACTTTTACTTTCTCCAGCTCTAAAAGTCTATGATCCCTTAGCGAAACTGCATTACCTATGCTCACTAATGGATTTAACACTCTCCATTATTCACCAGAGCCTAAGAGGATGTTGTGGAATATGTAGTTATTATTTGCCTTAAAAAAAATTTTTTTTTTACTGGAATATAGTTGACTTAGAATGTTGTGTTAGTTTCAGCTGTACAGCAAAGTGAATAGTTATATATATACATAGATCCATTCTTTTTCAGGTTCTTTTCCCATATGTTATTACAGAATATTTAGTAGAGTTTCCTGTGCTATACAGTAGGTCCTTATTAGTTATCTATTATATATATAGTAGTGTGCATATGTTAATCCCAAACTCCTTATTTATCACTTCTCCCCATGTTTCCCCTCTGGCAACCATAAGTTTGATTTTGAGATCTGTGAGTCTGTTTCTGTTTTGTAAATAAGTTCATTTGTATCACTTTTTTATTAGATTCCACATATAAGTGATATCATATGATATTTGTCTTTCTCTGTCTGACTTACTTCACTTAGTATGATAATCTCTAGGTCCATCCATGTTGCTGCAAATGGTGCTACTTCATTCTTTTTTATGGCTGAGTAATATTCCACTGTATATATGTACCACATCTTCTTTACCCATTCCTCTGTTGATGGACATTTAGGTTGCTTCCACGTCTTGGCTATTGTAAATAGTGCTGCAATGAACATTGGGGTGCATGTATCTTTTTAAATTATGGTTTTCTCCAGATATATGCCTAGGAGTAGGATTGCTGGATCATATGATAGTTCTATATTTAGTTTTTAAGGAACCTCCATACTGTTTTGTTCTCCATAATGGTTGTAACAATTTACATTCCCACCGACAGTGTAGGAGGGTTCCCTTTTCTCCACACCTTCTCCAGCATTTATTGTTTGTAGGTTTTTTGATGATGGCCATTCTGACTGGTGTGAGGTGATACCTCATTGTAGTTTTGATATGCATTTCTCTAATCATTAGTGATGTTGAGCATCTTTTCACATGCTTTTTGGCCATCTGTATGTCTTCTTTGGAGAAATGTCTATTTAAATCTGCCCATTTTTTGATAGGATTTTTTTTTGACATTGAGCTGCATGAGCTGTTTGTATATTTTGGAGATTAATCCCTTGTTGGTTGCTTTGCAAATATTTTCTCCCACTCTGTGGGTTGTCTTTTCATTTTGTTTATAGTTTCCTTTGTTGTGCAAAAGCTTTCAAGCTTAATTAGGTCTCATTTATTTTTGTTACTCTAGGAGGTGGATCAAAAAAGATATTGCTGTGATTTATGTCAAAGAGTGTTCTGCTTATGTTTTCCTTTAAGAGCTTTATAGTATCCGGCCTTACATTTAGGTCTTTCATCCATTTTGAGTTTATTTTTGTGTATGGTGTTAAGAAGTGTTCTAATTTCATTCTTTTACATGTAGCTGTCCAGTCTTCCCAGCACCACTTATTGAAGAGACTCTTTTCTCCATTGTATATTCTTGCCTCCTTTGTCGTAGTTGACCATAGGTGCATGGGTGTAGTTATTATTTGTTGAATGCAAACAATGGCTTAATATTTTCAATCTTATCTTCTTAAACCTTACATATCTTAGGGATGTTTGTGTTCGGTTGCTGTGAGCTGCCAGGAGAGGCAGGACTGTAGCTGTGGAGGTTCTTAGTACATCTCACACTGCACTTAATGCAGACATTTAATACATGCTTTTTGATATGCCTTCGATGGACTAGGTGGCATGTGATATTTTCCCATTTGGTGATCATTATAAATTTGATACAAACTCTTAAAATAATGAGTATTTGATCTTAATTCATCCTTGAACAAGTTTCTGGAGTCCAGGAGACCACACTGGGCAATCTGATGATCTGATATAATGGAGATATTTCCTGTTAATCAGGAGATAAGGATATTAGTGTCAGTGCTGTCCTTGGCTCTATCACAGTTGCAAAGGTCACCGAACCTCTAGTGGCTCTGGAAAACTAGGAAAATATTGACCATCTTAAGTTCAGGAAGAATTCATGAAATGCCTTGTAAAAATATAGGCTCCAGGAACAAAACTTAATTTCAAAATGGTATTTTTATAAAAATTAATTTTAGAGGTAAAAACTTTTCCACCTTGAATCAGAATAAGCTTGTTTTTGTTTCTGATCTTGGTTGTTTTGCTTTAAAGAATGAGATGCTATAGTTCAAAAATTGAATAAGTATTTATTGTTCCAGAAGGTACATTGCTTTTTATACATATTTCATAAATGATACAGGATTTTACACATGTTCAATATTTTGCTATTTGTTTAAAGGACTTTTCTCCACGTTCTCCCTCCCCTTGCCTCCCACACACCCTGAAAGGATTTGCTCATTGCACTGTGCTGTTTCTTCTTAAAAACCCTGCGTACAAACAGGATAAATGGTTTAAAAATAATTCACACAACTTAACAGAAATAAATGAGGGAAGGGGGTTGAACGACTGGGGGGGCGGGTGGGGAAGGAAGTGGGAGGAGGGATGAGAAGTGGAGACATGCATCCTTTCATTCCGTCATGCCAGTGGAAGGGGTGGTGGCTGGAACAGCAGCAGCAATCCTGGCTGGCCTTCAACCTCTGCAAGGCACCTGCAGTCTGGGTTTGTCGTTTAAAGTGTTTCTCTTCATACACAATGATCCCAAAGGAGGAAGAAAAAGAGAAAGAAACCCCTTGCCACAATGAAGAGGGATCAATCATGTGAAAGAAAAAAGCCAATCAATCAGCTGTGCGGCAAGCCCCAACATCCTTTCCATCCTGCCCCCGCAGTAGTTAAAAGCAGGATAGTAGACACAGATTCCTTTGACTCTTCAAGTGTGATGTCATCTGGAAATATGGTAGAAAATATTTTGATAGAGTATAAGATTAACTCCTTTTTCTCTCAATTTAAGAAAAAATAGGGTGAAGAGGGTAGGCTGAAAGAAGCCATAGAAATGTATTCCTGTACAAAGATAAACTGCACCCTTTGAGATCCACACACTTGATTTACAACTACTGAAGTGGTGGAGGTGGGAGGGCTCACAAACAGCGTGGGAGTGTGTGTCCTTCGAGATTAACAAGGCCTCCAGACAAGGTAGTGCCATCTGGGTGGCCTGGAATGCTGTCACACAAACAGATTAACAGCAGTGAAACTATTCTGGTTCTGAAATGGCTACAGAGCCATGGTTTTTAGCCATTTTGTAAACCTTACATCTTCCTGATTTGGTAATACAGCTGAACACTCCGCCTCTGGCTTTAGCTGTGGAGGGAGAGGGGAGTATCAATGGGATAGTCAAATAAAGGAGGGAAATCTGTCCTCCTCTTAAAGATTAATTAGTAAAAAACAAAACAAAACAAAAAAACCTCATGCATTGTTGCCAATTATTTCTAGACAGTGATCCAGAGAACTGGAATATTGAGACATTTAAGAAGGTATTAAGGGATAATCCAAAGTGTCAATTATCGAACAGTCATAAGTTGGTTCCAATTATCATATGGATAAAATTAGTGTACCAACAGGTGTGGGTGGTCAGAAATGGGGCACAAACGGGAGAGATTCCTGGTAACTTTGCAGAGACTGGGTCCAATCTAAAATAAATGCTAATGACATGGGCTCAGACTCTGTTTGCCACCCACATATCTTGAGGGTTTGCTTTTCTGGTATATTTATTTACTGCTATGTCAAAAATAAGAAAAGTTAAATTAAAAAAAAATTTAGAGCTGAGTGGGGTGCTGGTGTGTTACTATTTTGCTGACCCTGAAAAGAAGATGCAAGAAACAACACCCCTAGCATCACTTTCTCTCAACTATAATAATAATACATGATTTTCATCCAGAAACTGAGATTCTTGATTAAGACAATATTCACTAAGCCCTTTGAGCTTATATTCCACAAAGCCTGATGGTCAGATTTTAACATTCCTTTCTTCCCTAAGATCTTTTTGTTTTTGTTTTTTAATTAAAGTTAAAAACCCTCTACCCAGACGTGGCTCCCAGCTTCCACCTGCAATGCTTTAATTAAAAAGGCCATAGTTATAAACAGGTGTTCTTTCTGCTGGGATTCAGAGGCTCTCTGCAGATCAATCTTCCTCACCAATCTGTCGGAGGGGCAGATGCACTTGTAATGGGTCTCTCAGTCTCTTAAGGTCCATTTCTGCCTAAAATAGAAACAAAAGGTGAGAAAACTGGCTAGCCAAGCTTTCAATGATATTACTGTCTCCTGAGAAGAGGAAACTGTCTGTCCTCCATCACTATGAGTCAGAGAAATCATCTCAATCACTCTCAAAGTAAGAGTGCCTCAGAGGCAAAGAATGTTAAAGGCACAGGACAACAAAGCAGGACAGAAACAGAAGTCTGTCCTGGCAGTTTCAGCTATCAACAGAGCCTCCAGAAAAGACTGTGCAATCAACAGGGCAGGATCAGGGGCTCAAGAATGTGGGAGCAACTGATGCACCTTGATGGCATTTCTCCAGAGAGAAGCCCTTTTACAAACTTTTTGCCTGGAGCCAGAATTCAAATTTATGCTCCTCAAGACTTTAGTTATTTGTCTAGTAGTTGTTTAAGTTTTTCACTTATCAGGAACTTTTAAAACAGGGATGTGCAGTCAACTGCAGCACTTTCAAAACTCACACGTGCTTGGGCCTCACCCCTGAGGAGTTGGATTAATAGGTTTGGGGGGGGCTGAAGCACCTGTATTTTTAATAGCTCCAGAGATGATTCTGACGCATTCCCTCCAGTTGAGAACCACCACACAGAGCAACAGAAGGTAAGAATTCACTTAGGCCAAGGCAGGGAGATGAATTAAGCCTATTCAAAGCACAACCCCGTCACCAAAAAGGGACAGAGAAGGCAGAGAAGGTCCAGAGAAGAGTAATTAAACATTAAAGAGAATGGAAGGGCTTCCAGAGGTTTATAAAAAAAATCTCTAAAGTCATGAAAGACTGCAGAGAAAAGGAATGAGGATTTCTTCACCAAAATCAAAGATATCAGAGTGAGGGGGAGGCACAATCAGAAATGTGAAAGAGGTAGCTGTTATGAAAAATAAGATATCAGTCTTTAAAAAAACATTTCTAGCTCAATAATCTCTCACCTGCACCTAGCAAACATTTCTAGTAGTCTCTCTCTGACCCGGATTTTATTTTGGCTCCATTGCTACCACACATCTCAGGTGAGAGATCTTTGGGTCAATTGCAGAAAAAATTAAAAAAGAGAGAAAAGTAAAAACAGACCTCTCTAAAGAAACAAAATGAAAAATATAAAAATAGGTTTAAAAATTTCAATATGCTAGTGATAAAAGGATAGATAGGACTCATTATCTTTTCATCTGCTTGTGTTATAAAACTTTCTGGAGCATTGACCATGTAAAATAGTCATTTTTATCAACTGAGGAATAATTTACATAGGAAGAAGAGGATTGGATCATTCTTTCAGAGTTTACGCATCTAAGTACTTGACTGTAGACGACGATGATGACGATAATGCCATACAAGATGAGGCTGGGATTTACTTTAATTTTTGTAAAACTTACCTGAGCAATTGCATCTTTGAGTTGATTGTATTTCTCTAGGTCAAAACGTGACTTTTTGGCTCCTTTATGGAAAAATAATAAGTATTGTCTGTCTCTGGCTTCTGGATAAACATATTCCTACAAAAATAAAGAAGAAATTAAATTATACTCCTTAGCACACTATCTTCACAAAATAAGCATTTACTGTTGATTAGATTCAATATACATGAGCATATATAAAGATATACTACTGACATGTGCTATATTAAGTATTTATTTCTTAAACATTTTTTTGTTTTGTTTTGTTTTTTGTTTTTGCTTTTGCGGTACGTGGGCCTCTCACTGTTGTGGCCTCTCCCGTTGCGGAGCACAGGCTCTGGATGCGCAAGCTCAGCGGCCATGGCTCACGGGCCCAGCCACTCCGCGGCATGTAGGATCTTCCCGGACCGGGGCACGAACGCGTGTCCCCTGCATCGGCAGGCGGACTCTCAACCACTGCGCCACCAGGGAAGCCCTCTTAAACATTTTTTATTGCACAACACACACAGAAGAGTACACACACAAAAAATGTACATCATAAAGAATCATCATCACGTAATAAATGTTAATCATCACCAGACAGAGAAAATAGAATACCACCAGTAACTCACAAGCCCCCTTCCTGCCCCTTTCCAATTACTAACCCCTCCTTCCCCACCAAAGTAATCACTATCTTGACTTTTATAGTAACTGTTTTCCTGCTCTCTTTACAGCTTTCTTACTTAAGCATACACTCCCCTGAGCTCTACAGCTGAGTTTTTTGAAATTTATAAAAATGGAGTCAGATAGTATGCATTGTGTATGGCTACTTTCACTCAATATCATGTTTGTGACATTCATCTTTTGCGTGTAGCTGTAGTCTGTTCATTTCCATTGATATGTTATATTCTATTGTGTGGCTACATCACAATTTATTTATCTGTTGTACTACTGATAGATTTTTGGGTTGTTTCTAGGTTTTAGCTGTTGTAAATAATGCTGTCAAGATCATCTCTGGACTTATCTTCTGTTCGGTATAAACCTATGAATGGAAATTCTGGACCATAACGTATGCTTGTGTTCAAATTTAAGGAGTGATATCAAAATGGTTGTACCAGTTATACTCCCATAAGCAGGACATGAGTTGCCATCACTTCACCTACTTGCCAATACCTGGTATTGTCAGTTAAAAAACGAGTTAGGCAGAAATACTACCTCAGGTTCTGTTCCCTTACAGGTTATTACAAAATATTGAGTATAGTTCCCTGTGCTATACTATAGGTCCTTGTTGGTTATCTATTTTATATAGTTTGTATATGTTAATCCCAAACTCCTAATTTATATTATTTATATTACTACATTTTAAAAACAACTTTACTTGAGATACCATACAATTTACCCATTTAAAGTATAATAGTCAATGCTTTTTAGCATAGTCAGGATTGTACAACCATTACTACAATAATTTTTAGAATATTTTCATCATCCCCCAAAGAAACCCCATACATACCCTTTAACATCACTTCCTATTTCCCTCCATACTTCCAGTTCTAAGTTAACTACTAGCCTTTCTGTCTCTATAGATTTGCCTTTTCTGGATATTTCACAAGTGGAATTGTAAAAAAGCCTTTTGTGTCTGGCTTCTTTCAAGGCTCATCTATTTGTAGCATGTATCAGTGCATTATTTCTTTTTATTGACAAATAATATTCCATTAAATGGAATATGCTACATCAGGGGTCCCCAACCTCCCAGCTGCAGACTGGTAGCGGTCTGCGGCCTGTTAGGAACTGGGCCGCACAGCAGGAGGTGAGCAGTGGGCGAGCCAGCAAAGCTTCCTCTGCCGCTCCCCATCCCTCGCATTACCGCCTGAACCATCCCCTGCCATCCCCTCCCCCAGGGAAAAATCATCTTCCACAAAACCGGTCCCTGGTGCCAAAAAGGTTGGGGACCACTGTGCTACATTTTATTTATCTATTTGTCAATTGATAGACATTTGGGTTTTTTCCACTTTCTGGCTATTATGAATAATCTTGCTATGAACATTTGTGTACAAATTTTTGTGTGGACACGTTTTTATTTCTCTTGAAGAGATATAGCATTTTCCTGATCACTCATGAGGCTGAGGCCTTTTCATATCCTCTTTTATATTATTGGCCATTTGCATATCCTCGTTTAGAAGTGCCTGTACAAACCTCTTGCCATTTTTTCCCTACTGGATTGTGTGTCTTTTTCTTACTGATTTGTAGGATTTGTTGCTATATTATGGATATGGATCCTTTGTTGGATATACATACTGGAAACATCTCCTCCCAGCCCACTCTCCCTCTTCATGGTGCTCTTTAATAAACAGATGTCCTTAATGTTAATATAGCCTAATTTATCGTTCCTATTCTTTACGGTTAACATTTTTCATTCTGTGTAAAAAATCATTCCCTATTCCACAGTAATTAAGATATTCTATATTATCTTCCAGGAGCTTCATCGTGTTACCTTTTATATTTAGATCAACAATCTGTCTGGAATTAATTTTTGTTTATAGTGTAAGGATGGGGTCATTTCTTTTTTCTATATGGATATTCAATTGTCCTAGCACCATTTATCAAAAAACTCTTTCCCTGCAGTGCCATTTTTTTAAAATCAAAAGTTCATTTATACTAGGTCTATTTCTACTTCTCTCTTCTATTCCACTGGACTATTTGTCCATCCCTGTGTCACTGTCTTAATCACTGCAGTATTGTAATTAAAGCTGCAGTCTTCATATCTGAGAGTAAATCCTCTTACCTAGTTTTTCTTCAAGTGTTTATTACTTTTCTTAGTCCTCTGTATTTCAATATACATTTTAGAATCAGTTTATTAAAATATCTTCCCCCAACTCCAAATCTGTTGGGATTCTGACTGGGACTGCACTGAATCTAATAGATCAATGTGGATAAGACCAACATTTTTGCACTATTTACTTTTCTAGTCCATGAACATGCTCTATCATTATATTTATTAACTCTCCTATAATTTTATGTTTCTCTACATAGAGGTCTTGTACATATTTTGCATGATTTATTTATTTGGTTACTTATTTATTTTTTAACATCTTTATTGGAGTATAATTGCTTTACAATGGTGTGTTAGTTTCTGCTTTATAACAAAGTGAATCAGCTATACATAAACATATATCCCCATATGTCTTCCCTCTTACGTCTCCCTCCCACCCTCCCTATTCCTCCCCTCTCGGTGGACACAAAGCACTGAGCTGATCTCCCTGTGCTATGTGGCTGCTTCCCACTAGCTATTTTACATTTGGTAGTGTACATATGTCCATGCCACTCTCTCACTTCATCCCAGCTTCCCCTCACTTCATCCCAGCTTCCCCTTCCCCATGTCCTAAAGTCCATTCTCTAGGTCAGCGTCTTTATTCCTGTCCTGCCACTAAGTTCTTCAGAACCATTTTTTTTTAGATTCAATACATATGTGTTATCATACGGCATTTTTCTCTTTCTGACTTACTTCACTCTGTACGACAGTCTCTAGGTCCATCCACCTCATTATAAATAACTCAATTTCGTTTCTTTTTATGGCTGACTAATATTCCATTGTATATATGGGCCACATCTTCTTTATCCATTCATCTGCTGATGGACAGTTAGGGTGCTTCCATGTCCTGGATATTGTAATTAGAGCTGCAATGAACATTGTGGTACATGACTCTTTTTGAATTGTGGTTTTCTCAGGGTATATGCCCAGTAGTGGGATTGCTGGGTCATATGTTAGTTCTATTTTTAGTTCTTTAAGGAACCTCCATACTGTTCTCCATAGTGGCTGTATCAATTTACATTCCCACCAGCATTTATTGTTTGTAGATTTTTTGATGATGGCCATTCTGACTGGTGTGAGGTGATACCTCATTGTAGTTTTGGTTTGCATTTCTCTAATGATTAGCAATGTTGAGCATCCATCCATGTGTTTGTTGGCAATCTGTATATCTTCTTTGGAGAAATGTCTATTTAGGTCAACTGCCCATTTTTGGATTGAGTTGTTTGTTTTTTTGATATTGAGCTGCATGAGCTGCTTGTAAATTTTGGAGATTAATCCTTTGTCAGTTGCTGCGTTTGCAAATATTTTCTCCCATTCTGAGGGTTGTCTTTTCGTCTTGTTTATGGTTTCCTTTGCTGTGCAAAAGCCTTTAAGTTTCATTAGGTTCCATTTGTTTATTTTTGTTTTTATTTCCATTTCTCTAGGAGGTGGGTCAAAAAGCATCTTGCTGTGATTTATGTCATAGAGTGTTGTGCCTATGTTTTCCTCTAAGAGTTTTATAGTGTCTGGCCTTACATTTAGGTCTTTAATCCATTTTGAGTTTATTTTTGTGTATGGTGTTAAGAAGTGTTCTAATTTCATTCTTTTACATGTAGCTGTCCAGTTTTCCCAGCACCACTTATTGAAGAGGCAATCTTCTCTCCATTGTATATTTTCCCCTCCTTTATCAAATATAAGGTGACCATATGTGTGTGGGTTTATCTCTGGGCTCTCTATCCTGTTCCACTGATCTATATTTCTGTTTTTGTGCCAGTACCATACTGTCTTGATTACTATAGCTTTGTGTAGTCTGAAGTCAGGGAGCCTGATTCCTCCAGCTCTGTTTTTCTTTCTCAAGATTGCTTTGGCTATTCGGGGTCTTTTGTGTTTCCATACAAATTGTGAAATTTTTTGTTCTAGATCTGTGAAAAATGCCATTGGTAGTTGGATAGGGATTGCACTGAATCCGTAGATTGCTTTGGGTAGTATAGTCATTTTCAAAATGTTGATTCTTCTAATCAAAGAACATTGTATATCTCTCCATCTGTTTGTATCATCATCTGAGAAGGTGATCTCTACGACTTACTCCTCTGCCTTCTTGAAGCTATCTCTTGCATGATTTATTTTTAAAAGTCATTTTGAGTTGCATTGCTTAAAAAGTTTCATTTTCTAACTATTTTTGGCTGGCATATAGATATGCAATTAATTTATATATATTGACCTTGTATCTAGTAAACTTATAAAACTCACTTATGAATTCTAACTAATTATCTATATATGCTTTTAAAATTTTTGTATGTACAAAATCTATGAATCATGCCAGTTGTTTTTC